CTTGCGAGCCGTCGTGGTCTCTCGGCCTCGAGGCCTGAGGGGTGAACACGGGCAGCCGGAACCCAGCCACTGGGCTGGGGGGGTGGGGGCGACCCGTGCGGGCAGAGCAGAAGAGTACGGCAGATTCGAACGAGGACCGCGTGGCCCCAGGCTCCCAAGGATCTCCAAAGAGGGCCCCAAGAGCTTCTCAAGAGGGCCCAAAGAGCGCCCCAGAAGCCTTGCCAGCTGTCCCAAACGAGCCCCAAGATTGCCCGAATGCAATCAAACCGTATAATCAGGCGACACTTTGCGAGCGGCGCACGGCCAGCGAAAGCGACCAAGAATGGGTCAAAGGGGAAGGATGCAAGTGTAACCTTGGAAAGTTGCTCATCCTGTCTATGCAGTTTGACTGCAGGCTGCCAAGAAGCTCCCAAATTGAAAGATCCGAGAAGGCACTTATGATTGACTCCTGGGTCTGCTGAGGCTGATCCCGAGCTTTGGTCTGCTCGAGATAGCTTTCAGCATGCCTTCGAGAGGCCCCAGTAGCACTCCGAGACGGCTCAAAATAGCCACGTAAAGTATCAACCCCTTTCAAGCAACATGCAAACTGATGATGCTGGCCCTCTCCGTTTCGCTTTCACTGCGCTTATGGGGCAACAAGATGGCTCCAACATAACAGAAGAAAACAAGCGCGCCCAGGAGCGCCAAAAGTTGGCTCCAAGAGGCGATATTGGGGACTCTACATGGGAGGATCTGTTAGGGAACCACACCCTTCTGTGATCGATGTCCCCCAAGATGGCCGCAAGAGTTTCCCTAGGCTCCAAGCAAGAGGACCACAAGGGGACTTCACGAGGACCCCGAGATGGCCCCAAGAGAAGCACAATGGCTTGTCACATTGTGCCCAAAGGACACCAACATGGGCCAAGTAGCCTGCAAAAGAGTATCCCACATCGAGAGATCCGAGAGTGCAACGTTTACGGTTGGCTCCTGGGTCTACTCAGGCTGATTCCCAACTTCGGCTTGACGCATCGCGACCGCGGGCCAACCACGTTAGGCAGGTTCGCGTCGCCACGACGTCGGCGTTGGTCTCCGACGCCGCGTGGACCGTGTAACCGTGGACGATATGAGGCTCTTCGATCACCAGGTGCTTCCGTATTCGAGGAATCTGGGCAACTGACAACGTTCAACCTGGAACGCCCGCAATGGGCTCCCAGCTGCGTCAACACGGCACGGACCGACCGAGCCACCCGAGGCATCGCCGAAAACCGAGATGATCAGAGACCATCTTGCATTTTCGCTGGGCGTGCCACCAGCAAACTTATGCCAATGGTCCTCCGTCCTCGCCCCTTCGTCCCGTCCTCCACCCCTCCACCAGTCGCTTCGGGCATGCAGCCGTGGCGGCCATCTTCAGAGGCTCATTCGCAGACGTGGACACACTGTCGCATGAGAGCCTGCGTGCGGTGATTGCCAACAAGCAGAGTTCCAGCGGCTGGAAGTGAGACAGCAAATAATCGGCTCGCTCTCGCGACCTTCCGCCCACGAGCATCGCCGTGCCCCACGCAGCAGAAAGGCGCTGTTGGCAAGAAGAGGCCGGACGGAGTGCGGAAAAAGAAGCTGGAACCCTGGGGTCCCCCTCCGCCGAAGAGCTTCAAGGAGCAATCTCCGAGTGGGGGTGGGCCCCCAACCAAAAATATGCCATCAGAAATCCTACCAGTCTTTTAAGGCTGCGACGGACAGGTGCGTTTCTACTTCCAGCGCCCCTCTTCACCTTCGGGGAGGGGCTTACCCCTCCCCCTGGGTCTGAATGGGGACGGGGCCGAGGTGTCAGAGTGGTCCTCTTTGGCCCTTGATGGGTCTAAGATGGCCTCAGAGAGCCCACGATGAACCCAAGATTGCCCGAATGCTTCACAGCATGGCTCAAGATAAGCTTCCAACATGCCCTAAAGACGCTCCAATAGCGCTCCGAGGCGGTTTCGAGTGACCACGGAATCTCCCAAAGCCGCCCACGTAAAGCCCTAAACCTCCTAAAACAAAAAAGGCAAACCACTGATGCTGGCCTTCTCGCCTTTTCGCGTCAACTGCGGTTCTGGGGCAACAAGATGACTCCAAGATAGCAGAAGAACACAAGCGCGCCCAGGAGCGCCACAAGTTGGCTCCAAGAGGCGATGTGGGGGTCTGTAGATGGGCGGACCTGTTAGGGCCCCCCCCATTTTGATACATGTCCCACAAGATAGCCCCAAGAGGTTCCCGAGGCTCCAGTTCCCGAAGCTCCAAAGAAAACCCAGCCACAAGATGGCCCCAAAATGGACCCACTGGCTTTCACGTTGTCCCAACAGGACCCCAAGATGGCCCAAGTAGCCTGCCAAGAGGATACCAAATCCACAAATACGAAAACGCATTTGTCCGTTGGCTCCTGGGTCTGCTCCGGCTGCTTCCGAACTCCTCTTTGGCTACCCCGCACTGTGTTCCGCAACTTGCCCCTACAGCTCCCTGATCAATGCAACTCGCCACGGGCATCGTCTGAGTGGGCTGGTGGGGACACCCGAGGCATCTAGCATTAGGTTGGGCGTGTCCTCCGACAGGGGATTTTTTGACGAAAAATAGCGGATACTCCAACAATGATCAAACATACTCAACCGTGATCAAGATCCCCGGACCATCTTTTAACTTTTTGGGAATACTCCTCCTGTGGAGGGACAGGCCCGAATTAAATCTAGCATTCACCTCTCGGGACCCGCCTCTGCTGAGGAACGGAAGCGCGCCTGCGTGGGGCCCAAAGCTGCACCCCCGACGGAGGAGGGAGGGAGGAAGGACAGTAACAAACGCAACCTGACCAGCCACGAAGAAGGAAACTTGTCCGGGGTGAGCCGCGTCCAAGGGCTGGACCCAAGCGTTGTTGTTCGGTTTGGTTTCGTCTTGTTGTTCGTTTTGTTCTACCTGGTTTCCTGTACCTCCCTCCCAAAACGAAAAACAACACACAACCGAAGTCCAACAAAACAGCTTTCAGGTTCAGCCCTGCCGCGTCCTGGACCTGGGGGCTCTCCACCCCGCGCCGTTGTTGGTTGACGTGCCAACGCCTGAAGGCCCCAGAGAAAGCCCCCAGAGCATGAAGACGCCTCTGGACCCCTTACCCTGTCAGGACCACTCTCTCTTTGTGGCAAGCGTTCGCGCCTCCTCGGACATCGACGCCCTGGGTCGCTGTATGGGTTCGGTCTGACAGGTGTGGCGACGAGGAGCCTTGCGGAGGCGAAGGAATGTGAGCTTCGTAACGAGCGCCAGAGGGAACACACAATCGGTCCTTGACCCCCCCCCCTCCCGTGAGGGGCACGTTATAGGGGGGGACTTGCGCAGGGGGGGGGGGAAAACATCGACCAGGAATCTGCTATACGTCGCCGAAAGAAATCGGCGACAGGCCCCCGATAGCGGAACCGAGCGCTCCGGGGGTGGGTTGGCTGCCTGGCCCCTGTTGGCGACTAATGGGCGATTGGGGGTCGATGCATCCTCCGCCTGAGCTTATCCCACCGGATGATCCTCCTCGTCTGGCGTTCGGGTCACAACTCCAGCCCTCTGCGGCCGTTCGGGACGACACGGGCAACCCCAGAGCAGCCGCCAGGAGGGAACCCGAGGGTCGAACCTCGATCATGAGACCGACCGTCGAGGACCGACGATCACGCCCGAAAGCCTCACAAACTTCGATTACGAGAATAGTGTCCCCTCCGAAAACATCCTCCCCTCAACCCAATACCTCCGCTCCGCTCCTCATTCTTCATCCGCCACCTCCTCCAATTGCTCAACCATTCATCCCTCATCCTGCACCTACTTCTCCGCCTCCACCTGCTGGTCCTCCTCCTCCTCCTCCTCCTCCTCCTCCTACTCCTCGTCCTCATGATCCTCCGCTCATCCTTCATCCTCCACCTCCTTCTTTTGCCAGCGCAGGCTCTCATGAGACGAGACGCTTAAGCGCCGCCTGGGGCTTGCTTGACGGGGCCCGCAAGTACCGCGGCGCAAGTAGCGGTCGCTTGTGGCCCTGATTTCTCGCTGTTCTATAAGCGAGCGTCGGCAACATCCAGTTGCGAGACCCTGTTGGCATCCATGGGCGAGGTGTTGGCGACGACCGAACAGCCAGCAATCTTCTCCTCTGGGGGGAAACGATGGGGGAAACCAGCCTAAGGAGGGAAACATCGACCTTGAATCAGCGGTACACCGTCGATCGTCTAGCGAAAGGCCCCCGAGCGCTCCTGGACAGGGAGGGCCATAAGGCCCCTATCGGCGATGAATGGGCGATCGGGGGTCGAGGAGCTCCCTCCAAAGCCTATCTTCCCCTGTCGTGGCCCCCGATATCCTCCTCCTCCGCCTCCTCCTCCTCTTCCCCCCTTTGCTCGGGGGCGTCCAAGAAAAGGGCGTCCACGAGTTGGGTTCGCATATCACGGCCCGAGACACGTGCGCGGCCCAGCTCAAAGGGGGAGGGGGGGCCAGGGACGCACTGAAATAAAAAACACACCCGGATCCCCGACGTCGTTTTTTGTTTAAAACAAACAAGATCAACGCTGACTCCAAGATGTTTGAACACCTTCCCCTGGACAAGTTTCTCATCCTGAGGCGTTTTTCGACAGTCCCGAGGTCCGGTAAGGGCTCCCGGAGGCCGAAAGTAGAGCAAACCCTGCCGTCGCGCCTGTTTCACAACGCGCCGGGGTTTTGGGAGGCGCCGTGACATCCTGGGGAGATCTCGTGGCCCCCGCCATGGTATTCCCCCCCCCGCCTAGTCTTGTGGATGCAATGGCAATGGACACTCTAACAATCCTATCATTGAATTAAAGATGTGTTCAAAATGTGTAAGACATGTTCTAAGTATGTGCCAACCATGGTTTCACATATTTTAAAACATGTTTGAAACTGTTTTAGACATCTGGATTTTTGTTTCACAGCATGCTTCCTCTCCATTAGTCGACATCCACAAGCCTGGTCAACACCCGCGTCTTGGTCGCCTCCAACCCTCCCCGCCCGCCGGGCCTCGCGTAGCACGCGCCGCCGGCGCGCGCGCGGCCTCCGGGCCCGCAGGCCGGGCAGGTCCCCACCTCGGCAGCGCGCGCAGGAGGGCGCGCTGGGCGCGGGGGAGACTCGAGCGACGATCAAGAGCAGTCCATACGCGATAATGACATTGACATAGCGACCTTGCGCCGCGGCTTACGCGGGCCGCTGGCGCGGCACGCTGCATTGGAGACGAAGGCGCTTACGCGCGACCTTACGGGGCGAGTTTGCGCGCCAATGTCGGCGAAGACGACCCTTTTGTTTGGCGTCGCTCACGCGCCGTGTGGCGCAAGTAACCAGCCTCGAACGTATCCCTATCCCTGAAAGTGGCAGACCAGAAGGCGATGATAATCTCAGGGGCGCGCCCTCAGAAACTGAGGAAACCTTTAGATCAGAATCCAGAAATGGCGATACCAAGAATCGGTGTAAAGATATGCTTGAGGCTGGAAACCACGGTGCGTGGTGCAGGCTCCGTGACGCAAACTGTGTGGGCGACGGAATACGTAGAAAGGTTTTTACGCGAGACGACAGCGACTGTGCGCCGAGCTTTACGCGGGCCGCCAGCGCGGCACGCCACATTGGCAACGACAGGGTCTACGCGCGACCTTACGCTGGCTGCTTACGTGGGCTGCTTACGCGGCAATGCCGCTGACGACAACCCCGTTTCTCTCCGCCATTTCTGCGGTGCAAGCTACGTGGGGCAACTCATGTGTGCCAACTCGTTTGTTGTCAACTCCAGTGCCCGCGAACTCATCCCTCCCTCCCAACCGCAACTGGATCTGCAAAACCCATGCGGCACCGATTGCGATGACTGCTTGGCACTAGCTGGCGCATCTCTACGGCCGCGCTGGCGCACGCAAGCTCGCGCACAGAACGACCTGCTTGTTTGGTACAGCCGGTGCATCGATGATGAAGGTGCTTGGGTAATGATGCCGGCGATGGCGGCGATCGTCGATGACGGTGACGCGACGCGGCGACGCTGCCGAAGGACGGTGAGACAGTGCGCGCGCGCGGGAAGCCAGGAACCCTGATAAAGTTATTGTCGTTGTTGTTGAATTAATTACATTTGGTGCTCATGTTGTTTGAAGAACGATATAAACCCATTTCCAGGGACGGACTATCCTGGGTCAGCGCAAACCCGGGTCAGCCAGGGCCAGGCCGCTCATTGGCTCCCAAACCTGGGTCAGCGGCGCGCTGAAGGGCGGAATCGGCCCCGCGTGGCTCCCACACCGGGGTCCACCAAAGAGAATTGGAGACCGTTTTTTTTTTGAATCGGCGATAACCCGGGTCATCCGGGGGGGGGGGGAGCTCCCCCCCCCCCCTCCTAGGAGGTGGGGGCCGGCCGATGACCTAACCTACGGGCTGTGGACAGCCCTGCATATGCCCGCGCCCCCCCACCCCGGACCTGCACAACCGGCAAGGTTAGGTTATCCTGGCGGGTGGGGGGGGGGCAAGCCAGATAACCGGAGGTCTTGCCGGACCCCCTTCAGCGCTGCTCCCCGTCTGCCGTAAGCCCCGCCCACTGCGACTTCGGCCCCGCCCGGTCCACACAGCGAGCCGCCCTCCTCCGCCGCGCCCGCGGGCTGGCTGGCGTTCTGGACCTGGAACGGCCGCCGCCTGCGGGACGCGGTGGGCTCGGGCCAATCCGCTGGGAGAGGGCGGCGGACATCAGACTCACTCGCGTCGCAGCCCAGACCCCCGACGCCATGACTGTTTCACAGCGCTGAGTCCTGGACCTCTCGACTCGACACCTTCCCCGAAAGATTGTCCCACGAATCCTCTGATGGGTTTCTTGCTATTACTGGGACACCTCTACCGCCTCGCGTACTCCTTCACCCCAGCCTCCTCCTCCCTCTCATCACACTCAGATCACTCATCTTCAGACGCAGTCACAATCAGACTCACTCAGACTCAGAGTCACTCACGGTCAGAACACTCAGCTCATACCAACATCACTCATACTCAGACAGAATATTCAACTCCACTGTTACTCTGACTCACCCTCACTCGAAGCCGCTGATGCTCGGACTTGGTCACACTCAGAATCACTGACGCAAAGACCACTCCCGCTCAGATCCACTCATGCCCCGCCAAGGGCATTGTCACACCCATACGCACATACCACTCAAAAGTATGATCGTTCCACTCACAAGATGATCATCGCAACATCAGAGGCGTTGCGCTTTGACACCCGGGGGGGGACCGCCAATGAGGGGAACACTCACCCGTTCGCGCACAGATGGTGGAGATGTCTCTAGAGGTTTGCCTGTTGTGCCCCCCAGGCTCGTCTCCTTTGAGAGACCCATGATCACCGCTACACGCTCGTTCGCGCCCAGATTGTGGGGACGTCTCAGAAACGGTTAGATTGGTGTTGCCTGCAGGCGCGTCCTTTTTGAGAGCCCCATGGTCACCGCGACATAGCTGGCGTGCCACTTGGGTCGGAGCCGCCAGGGAGGGGGGCTCTCGCCCGTTCGCGCGCAGACTGTTGGAATGTCTCACTACGGTGTGTCTGTTGTTGCCCCCTCCCCAGGCTCCTTACCTGTTCTGAAGACCCCATGACCACCGCGACATCGCAGGCGTGGCATTTGGGCACTTCAACGGGGAGCCGCCAGGGTTCGCGCCCAAGCCCTGGTGATGCCTCAAACGATGTGCCTGCTGCTGTCCCCCCCAAGCCCCTTTCCTTTGAGACCCCCTGATGATCACCGCTACATTTAGGTCGGACACGTCCCTCTACAAGCGGATGTTGGGCGAAGAGTAAAAAAGATCCCCCAAATCTACAACAAATCGTCCCCATACTATTTTTGACTACTTCCTCCCCAACAAATTCAAAACTATCGTCTCCTGTAGAGGGACAGGCCCGACTTAACGCTACATCGCAGGCGCTGCAGCTGGGCATCCCCGAAAGGGGAACCGCCGGAAAGGCGGGACGCTCGCCCGTGCGCGCCCAGGTTGCCGGAGTGCATCACGGGCCCACTCGCCCTCGTACTTGGGGAGGTGGTGGGGGGAGGGGGGAGGAGGAGGAGGAGGGGGAGAAGGAGGAGGAGGAGGAGGAGGAGGAAGAGGAGAAGGAGGAAGAGGAGGAAGAGGAGGAGGAGATGGAGGAGGAGAACGACGAGAAGGAGGGGGAGGCGTAGGGGTTCGCCTGCTTCGGCGACTCGGACGCTTCCCTTGTGAGAGCCCCATGATCACCACGGCCATGGATGCATCACGGGCCCATGGGGCGCCCATGTTGGGGGATGTCTGGACCGGTTCGCCTACCTTGGCGCTTCGGACTCTTCTCTTTTGGAAGCTCCGTGATCACCACGATGTAGCAGGCATGACATTTGGGCATACCCGAGGGAAGCCGCCATTGCGGGGATGCCTCAAGCGGTTCGCCTTTTTCGGTGCCTCGGGCTCACTTCTCCCGCTCGCACCGTGGCCACCGCGGTGTAGCAGGCATGGCCGAAGGGGCGTTACCCTTGCCAGCTCGCGCCCGGATCGTGGGACCTCGGGCGAAGCGCTGGGTTAGGCATCCCCGACTCCCGCTCCTCGCAGAGTCCCGAAGTCATCCCGGTGTAGCAAGGCGTCGCGCCTGGGCTCTCCTCTGGGGAGCCGCCGGGGAGCGCTCGAGTTGCCAGGCGCAGACTTGCTCACCCAGACACTCGCAGGCGGGAGTGCCAGGAACTGACATGCGCACAAGGGGATCTCCGCGCCGAACGATGCCATCACAGGTCGTTCTGCTGCGGCTCAGGGGCCGGCTTTTTTATTTTTCAGGGGCCCGGCTCAGGGGCCTGGCAAAGACTTCGGGGCAACCGAACGGCAAATTGGCCGGCATGCAAGAGAGGATAAAGGACGAAGGGCGGCCGGGCAGAGGGAGGGGGAGGGAAGAGCACTCATACCTTCTGTCGTAGTTCTTTCACGGCACGAGGAGTGTGCTCCTCACTCCTTGTACCTCCCTCTCTCCCCCTCCAGCTTCTGCTCGGGCGCCCACGCGCCACAGCCCGTGGAACGCCCGTCGATTGGCGACGGGGAGAGAGCGGCGAGCGACGGCTCATTCGCGACGCAACATTGAACCTGTTGAATTGACATGCCTGGCGTCATTGGGCAGGGGAACCACGGAAAAGAGAAACCTGTTACGTGTCCTATTAAACCTCCCTTTCGTTGCCACGCCCTTTGAATCTCTTGAGGTCCTTTCCGGTGTAGCCGCCTCATGTGTGGCAAATCAACCCTGCGTTGCGATCCCGACAAAACCGCAGACAGTGGCAGAGCCATGGTATCTCGTGCTCCTCCTCCTCCTCCTCCTCCTCCTCCTCCTCCTCATCATCATCATCATAATCCTCACCATCATCATCATCATCATCATCATCATCATCATCATCATCATCATCATCATCAGCATCAGCATCAGCATCAGCATCAGCATCATCATCATCATCATCATCATCGTCTGCACCAGCATCAGCATCAGCATCAGCATCATCATCATCAGCATCAGCATCAGCATCAGCATCAGTCATCATCATCATCATCATCATCATCATCAGCATCAGCATCAGCATCAGCATCAGCATCAGCATCATCGTCATCATCATCATCATCATCATCATCATTATCAACATTAACATCATCATCATCATCATCATCATCATCATCAGCATCATCATCATCAATATCATCATCATCATCATCATCTCTCCTTTTCCCCCACCCTCCTACTTCGGAATCAATCAACTCTTGGGAGGTCGCCGTAAGAAAGATTAAGGGCGATTATGTTAAATTAAACAGCCACTCCGCCGGATTAGGATCGATTCGGCCCTGAATTGAGCTGGACTTAGCTGGATTGAACAAGATTGAACTGGCTTCCGCGGGAGTAAGCCGGATGACATCGCATTTTGCCCGAGCAGGCCGGTTGTCGACCACGGATCTACCAGCGCCGATGCTGAATTCAATCTTCCAGGAGTTGCATCCTGTTCCCCCTTTCCAACACGGAACCCTTCAGGAGCCTCTGTCGTCCGAACTGCCACATTGCCGGCCTCCCTCACGCGAACGGCTGAAAACGAAGCACTAAGAATGCCTGCTGCAAGTGCCCGTCGCTGGAGGCGGGAGGAGCGGTGGAAATCGGAAGGGAAGCGGGGGCAATCTTACCACGGTCCAGCCGTGCGCTGCTGTGCCCCAGGCCACGGCGAGTCAGCGTCACGGCAGGCAGCAAACATAACAGAATGTGCACATGAAGTGTGGCAAGACTTCGCCTCGCATGGAATGGTGCTACGGCATGCCTCCCCGGCTCAAAGCACGACGCTCGCTGCAAGTGACAGCCACCTTTCGCCTTTTTCTCCCAGCGCCAGGGCCGAGACCAGGTTTGAACAGGGAGGGACATGCTTGAAGGGATTTTACCCACCAAGCAGAGCCCTCCCCTGAGAGCGCTCGACTGCGGCCGAAGACAGCTCAACGACGCTGCCCACGCCACCCCAGGGTGCGCCACCCTGCCAGGGAGGGGGAGGGAAGGGGGTCGGTACTGGGGGGGCGGGGGACGGGAGGACAGAAAAAAACATCGATGTGGGAACCACCCATACCATCTTGTCCGCTCTTGCGAATCGACGCTAATCGACGCTACATCGACACTAATCGACACTACATCGACGCTAGCCGACGCTAAATCAGCGCTATCTCACCGACTCCCGGGCCCTCATCGACGCGAACCAGCACTAAAGACGAATTGCAACAGGCTTTTACAAGGCTCCCATGATTTGCGACCGAACAAGTGGGAGGGGTCAGGAGGAGCGGCGTTGGGGCTGGTGGTTGGAGAGCGTAAACGAAACCAACGACACGCCGACGTGGGAACCCATCAGCGTGTTACTGTCACAGAAGCACCTGGCTTTCGGACGAGTGCAACGGAGTTAACACGCTGACGGGCTCCCAGCGGCGGCGAGCTCTTCGGCATCGATGAGCTAGAGGAATTCCGGCGCGGGGTGGAGCTAGTTGGACCACCCGGCCAGAAAGGACAAAGTGATAACTTGTGGGTGGTTTTGCAATTTGTTGAAAGATATTTGACAATTCATTTTGAGAAAGCAGATTTTTCGCACCTGTAAACGACTATGAGGGCTTCTCTGTCTTAGTATGAGCTCTGTAGGCGCAATTTTACTATGAAAACACTTGGAGCAACTATCTTCATGTCGACATGAAAAAATCAATGTTTCCCTTTTTCGAGAAATGCTTCCAGAAGCTCTCTCTTTCGACTCTGAGGACTCTTACGCATGAAAGAGCTCTACGAGGTTCCCGCTGGTGACCAGGTTGACGGTTCACCGCCGGCGCCAGTTGGCCGACCCGGCCCCGACGGACAATGTGCGAACTTTGGGTCGGTTGGACGAACTTCTTGAGAGATTTGAACATTCGTTTTGAGATCTGGTATTTTTCGCACCTGTAGTGGGTTATTGCGCGTTCGCCAGTAAATTCTCAGGTCTGTAGGTGCAGTATTACTATCAAAACACTTGGCGGCACCGTCTTTGGATAAAAACATAAAACGTAATTTTCGAGTTTTTTGGGGTCTCCTTCCAGACTCTACCTGCATGTGTACCGAGCAGCGCCGTGCGAGAAAAGAGCTCTAACACAAAACCCCCGGGCGGAGGACCAGTTTTCTC